GACAACATACTTTGAATTTAAAAAAATTACTATAACCTTAATGAAATCAAAATTCATAAGAGAAAGTTGCATACCTTTTTATTTAGCAAACAAATCAAACCAATCCTTCTTTAAAAAACTCTTGGAAGTAAGCACCAGAAATTACGTGCCTCTGATGGTTTACACCCAAACCCTAGCAACTAGGAAGCTTGAAGAGACATGAGAAGGGAGGTATAATTTCAGTTATCCTTTAGATGGAAGTCATGGCCGCATATATAAAGGGGTGAATACCTAACCTTAGATAACCCTTACATGATTAAAATAATAATATTTCAAATCAGATAATTATTTGATTTTCTAGTTATCTTCAAGGCATATTCTAGAAACCCTAGAATATTTTCCCAAAATTGTCCGCCCCTTATGGGGAAGGTTCTGGAAACCTTTTGTTCAACTATTGAACAATTACAGCTTAGGTCATTGCACTTTTAATTAATCCAATTAAGCTCAAATTTAATTCTAATTATATCATGGGGAAGGTTCTGGAAACCTGTGAGAATGATATCATCGACATATAGTAGCATATATAAAAGTGTTCCCTTAGAGGAATAAATGAAAAGTGAAGGATCGATTCTGGATCCTTTAAACCTAAGGTTCTTCAAAGCCTTGGTCAACCAATGAACCATGCACAGAGTGCCTGATTTAGCCCATATAAGGTTTTATGAAGTAAATAGAGGTGATCAGGTTTCGTTGAATCAATGAAACCTGGTGGTTGGCATAAGTACATTGTCTCATTGAGTTCTCTATGAAAGAATGCATTTTGAACATCCAACTGTCTGAGTGTCTATCTCTATGTAATGGCAAGAGAAAGAACTATATAAATAGTAGTATCTTTCACAACGGGTGTGAATGTTTCAAAATAGTCAATGCCATGTTGTTGTTTAAACCCTTTTGCTACCAGTCGTTCTTTGTAACGAGTGACTTTGCCTATTTGATCTCGTTTAAGTTTTTAAACCTATTTGCAATCAACCACATCTGATTAGTAATAGTTGGAACAAGATACCATGTGGCATTGTGCCTTAGGGTTGCGTATTCTTCAACCATAGCATCCTGCCATTGAGGGGATTTATTAGCATCGACAAAGGTTGTGGGCTCACTGTTATAGGAGTAGGTGTTAGTAGTATATGCGTAAGGGTTAAAGGGAACCCATGGTTTGGGATTCTAACGAACATTCGGTGGTCGTGCACAAGTTTGGGGTTGTTCGGTGTGCATAAGAGCAGTCAGATCGCTAATGGGAGCAGTAGACTGGTTTGGTGTAGAGGAAGAGGGGATAGAATGAGGTTTTTCAATATGAGGGTTGTCAGTAGGAATGGTGGTAGGTATGGTAGAGTCGGGTGATTTAATGGGTGTATCAGATGGAGTGGTGGTAGGTATAGTAGTATCAGGTGATGGAAGAGGCGTAGGGTAACTGGAGACATACAGATTTGAAAGAGAAGGGGAAGGTGGTATTGGTGATGTTTGTAGGAAGAGAAATTGTTGCTCATGAAACTGAACATGACGGGCTATGTAGATGTGATCGGTTTGTGGATCAAGGCACTTGTAACCATGATGAGCAGGACTGTACCCAAGGAAAACGCATGAAAGAGATCGAAAATCCATTTTGTGTTTATTGTATGTACAACGGTGAGGATAACACACACAGCCAAAAACATGTAAAAAAGAGAAATCTGGTTTGTGAGAAAAAAATCATGCTCAAGAGGAGAAACATTTGAAGAAGTACGAGACAACATGCAATTTACTAGATAAACAATCATGTCATAAGCAAAATGCCAAAAAACGAGATGGCCCACCAGATTGAGTGAGTAAAGTGAGCCCTGTGTTCCACCACATGTCTATGGCGGCGTTCCACAAAATCATTTTACTCACTTGTGTGTGGACATGAGTGACGATGAATGATGGAAATGGAGAAAAAAAGTTGGAGAGGTTTTAGAATTTTCCACCCCAATTTGTTTGCACATATTTGAGTTTGGTGTTAAACTGTCGTTCAACCATAGCAAGAAAGTGCTTAAAAGTGGCATAAACATCATATTTCTATTTTAGAGGAAATGCCCACATAGAACGAGTAAAATGATCAACACACAATAAGAAATAATTTTGTCCATCAGAAGAAGTAACATAAGCATGCCCCCAAACATCACAAAACACCAAATCTTAAATACTAGAGCTCGTAAAATTGGATAATGGCAATGATAGCTTGGATTATTTACCTAAATGACAAGCATTACAAGGAATAGTTAATGTTTTATGCAAAATAGTAATAGAATATTTTTAGAACACGGAATGTAAAAGTTGTAAATGCGAATGACTAAGCCGTTGATGTCATGTATAGACAGGAGCATGAACAATTGTGAAGAAACTTCTATAGACCAGATGAAAAAGACAGAAGATGAAACGAGTTGAGCCCATGTTCACTTGGACCCGTGAGGAGGGTGGTGTATGAAATCTCGTCCTTCACCGCATAAAATGTATCATGAAATTCAAAGAAAACATTGTTATCATGACATAATTGTTGAACATAATGAAAGTGTCGTTTGATTTGTGGAACATGAAGAATATTGGTTAAGGAAAAGGTTTTGTTTAGAGAGTAAAATTGAGATGAGCCAATATATAAGATAGGTAAACCCTTACCATTGCCAACATGAAGAGAGTCCTCACCATAATATGGTTCAACAATGTCGATGCTAGAAGGATCTGGAGCTACATGACTGTTTGAGCCTGTGTTAAGAAGCCATGAAGGATCTTATGAATGGTAGTCAGCATGATTGGCCGAAGATTGTTGTCTGGTGCGAAAAGTGGTAGGGTCACAGTTGGGGCAATCAGATGGAATATGGCTAATACCACACCAGTTGCATGTTTCATAAATCGTATTCTGATTAGATGCCCAATTGAATTGTCCTCTATTACTTCGATTTTTTGGACTATGACCATGTCCACGGTCATTTGTTGTGCGACCACGACCACGATTATTATGAGATGAAGAAGTAAAGAATGCTTGTGACTATTGGGTAATTGGTTGTAGGTTGAAACCAAGTTGTGAAGCAAGCTGATTGAGAGCTTGCATAGAATCCTGTTATGAGGGCACTGACTAATGAGATGTTCCTATGGTAGCAGTATGAAAAACCTGTGTTGTTGGGATAACAGGAATTAATTGTTTTATCATGCAATCATGATATGAAAGAAGTCCATGCAACTCGTTGAAGGTTGTAGGAACCTGTCGAGCAAGGATAGTATATTTTAAACCATTATAGTCATCACAAAGACCTACAATCACAAGCATTGCAATATGTTTTTCTTTAAAAGATTCACCAATATTAGCCAAAGCATCATCATACTCTTTTGCCCGATTGAGATATGCAGAGGATGTTTCATCTCCCTTCATCTGGATCTTTAGCAATTGTGTTTTTAGGATATATCCCCTGAAAGATGTATGTGGAGCATATGCACGTTCTAATGATAAACAAACGTCACGAGATGTAGTAGTACCTTGAACATAAGGAAAAACACCCTCTGAGATTGTAGAGATGATCAATATTCTTACATGAGCATCATTGGCGACCCATATCGCATAGTTAGGGTTCGGCTGAGATTTTATGGGAGCATCTTTGTCTAATGATGCTTGTCTAATCAGTGGTGATGGGCAAGGGACGATACCATCAACATAACCAATTAGGTTGTTTGTGACAACAAAATGATAAATCATTATTTTCCAAAAGCCATAGTTTGTTAGAGAGGGAGTAAAATCAAACTTATGAGAATTGTGAGAGGTTTCCTCAGCAGTTGTGAAAACAACAATTAATGCCATTGTTAGCGAAGAAACAAGATGAAGATAAGAGAAGGTTTGACGGCAGCTAGGGTTAGCGGCAACTGTGCTCTGATACCAAGACAAACAGATTGTACTGTTATGTATATTGTATTATGAGAAACACGATTACAATATATATATATATATATATATATATATATATATATATATATATATATATATATATATATATATATATATATATATATATATATATATATATATATATATATATATATATATATATACCCTTCGAATACTTAGCTATATTATAAACCGTCTAATAAATAGTTATATTATTTCTTTTAGTACGATAAAAATTTTGTATTTTTTGAAATTATCTCATTTAAGGCTTCGAGACCTATAATCCGTAGACAACCAAAATGCTAGGTAATTAAGTGGTTGTTAATGGTTGTTGGTTACAATCTTTTAGATTACAATTTTAAAAGAATATAAGGGTTGTAATGCAACAAAAAACTAATATCATATTTTTTAAGAATTATATATATTAAAATATATTGGGCTTTTTGAGGTTTGCAACTATATTTATATAACTAAATCTTTTATTTAAATTTATAATATGATTTGTATAGGTTGATTTCAAAAGTATGTTTTTTTTTTTTAAATTTGATAGAAGACATGTTTTGGATGTATAGCTTTTATTATTATTATTATTATTATTATTATTATTATTATTATTATTATTATTATTATATATATATATATATATATATATATATATATATATATATATATATAGGGAAAATGACGTATAGGCCCTATAATGTTTCTAGGGTTGACCCATTTAGCCACTTAACTTATTTTGTGGTTTAATAAGGGATCGAATTATTTGTTAACTACCCATATAGTCCCTTTTACCTATTGTAGCCGGTTAACGTTGCCACATAAACCTAGCCTAAGACGTAAGCGATGACATGGCAAGAAGTTAAATCGTCCAACAAAGCATACGACGTCGTATTGAAGGCAAATCGTAAGGAGCAAGGATCGACAGTTCTAGCACCTCCATATAAAATGAAGACTTCCTTGACCTAAAAGGGCACATCTACAAACTTCATTACCCCAATCTCGTCTCTAACTTTACTCCAAAATGGCTTCGAGCGGACGTGCAGAACACAGCTAGTCTCCGAATTACGCTCGTCACATGGATGAGAATCATTCGAATGGTGTAACCAACGAAGACATGGTCATCAATCTACTGCAAACCCAGATGGAACTGTCGCTTATATGGGAGGACTTCCAAAACCATTTGCGTGAGCTCCGTCAGGCAGTTAATCGACACTTAGATGCCATGAACCTTGAGGTCAATGACGTTCGCGCTGGTCAGATGGATATCTCAAATATGGTTGTTGATCTTAAAAATCATGTCGTTTCTCTGCAAGGAGCATATGTGAGGATGGTCTTCAAAAACAACAAACTAAGAAGCTGATGTCTTGTGTTGGGATTTTTGGTGTTGTTTGTGCGTCTGTGGTGACGTATTTAGTGTTTAAGTAAAAAAATGTTGTTTAGGTTGAAGCATTTCACTCCTGGGTTTGTGTTTTTGTGTGTTGCGTATGTTGTTTAGTGTCAATAATAGTAGTATATTTTGTGTGGGTTGCTGGTATTAGTTTGTGATGTTGGTTTGTAGATTTGGTGGTGGTGTTGTTGGGCTGCTGATTGTGATCGTTTTTTGACAAAGTTTTTGGTCGATGATCTCTGTAATAAGTTATTGAATAGCAGAAACCGATGTAAACAAACCCATGAGTGAAATGTGTTTTAATGTTATTATTAAAAAAAATTGCCTTTCACCTGTATCTGTATGTGTGCATGAAAGAAATTGCCTTTCACCTATGTTTCATTGACTGGGACGGGACCACAACACAAAGCAAAATGAATTTAACTTCTTTAAGCGCATAGACAGGGACCACAAATGGTGCAGTTTCGGAAAAGGGACAAAAAATACCTTTGCACATGATTGAACCATATCTACTTGTCATGTTGAATGGATTAAGTTACAAGTCCCCTGTTTTTTACAATGACTTAATTACCCCTGCATGAAAAATGGTCAGTTTACTTTGTAATGACTTAATTACCCCTGCATCCAAAATGGCCAATTTACTTTGTAATGACTTAATTACCCCCACATCCAAAAATGGTTTTAATTTCTAATGAATAAAATGACCCCACATCCAAAATGATAAATTTAATTTCTGATGACTAAAATCCCCCCCCCCCAACCAAAATGGTCAATTTAATTTCTAATGACTAAAATGCCCCCACAACCAAAATGATCAATTTAAATAGTAATAACTTAAATACCCCCACATCATAAATGGTCAATTTACATTGTTTTGGTTAAAATGCCCATAATATCCCTAAATATTCGTAGTACACCATAAAATAACATACAAAGATCATTTTTTACTGCAACACACATTCACTACAAATAACAAACAATTACTTAATCCAAGTCCATGGCCGTTGCAACACTGCTACCTTCACTTCCCACATTTTTTGCAAGCTTTATTTTAATGATTCGTTCTGACTTCTTTCGCATTATAGGTGGTTTAACATGCTTAACTTGAGCATTGAAATTCACCTCTTCTTCCCCTCCATTGACTCCCACCATTCGCTCTTCATCTCTAGGCCTATCCAAAGCATCAGTAGCATCTACGATTACCTCATCATCCCCTACTCCTGTGGCAACGTTTACAGACTCCTACGTAGGTATAGTTTTTTGTTTCTTTGTTCCATTTTGTTTGGATGTTCCTACACATTTACTACAAGTAGCCTTGTTGTGTCCTTTCTCCTTGCATATGCTGCAAGAAGCTTTCTTCCCTGCCTTGCAGACGGTATGTTTTCCCATCCGTTCAGAAGCATCTCTTCTTCTCTTTATGGTTGGCCTTCCTGGCATACGTCTTTTCAATGGAGGCAAAGGGGGTATCAAGTCAGTAGAAGGCCACATATTTTGTCCATTCATCCCATGGATTGGCTGTTTGTAACTATTATGGTATAATGCAGCCAAGTACATTGGATCTACATATGGACCGTTAGGTGTCAAATTTAAGTAGGCTAAGGTGGCAACTGAGTGTACGCAGCCATATCCATTAAGTTACATTAGCCTGCAACTGCATTCCTTTTTTTCAACATCCACAGTAAACGCTTCATCCATTTTCCTTGCCTCAAACTTCATCCTTCCACAAGAAATGACATGCCAATGCCTACATATATAGATGAAAACCGCAAATATCAGGAGATATGCAGAGTAAAGTACTAATGTTATTGGATAAATGTACAAACCTTTGCTCAGTTTGGAGCATATTCAACCGTATTCTGATATTTGGACAAACAGAATAAGCATTCCATCCTTGTCCGGTTAGTTTCATAGTCACCATCCTTTGCATCACATATATACGAATGTCCACTAACATGCTTATTATTGGTTTCTTCCGGGCATCCAAAATACACTATTAAAACTCTCTGAAAAACCATTCTCTACTGACTCACAAGAATTATGAACTCTGAAAAAAGCCAAAGACCAAGTCTTTGGATCTCTAGCCATAAGATGCACAACTGCTTTCGGATTTAATTTTCCAATCTCTTTCATAACTACATTAAATTGTGCTTCAGTTGTTGCCTTGCTCGCTTTCCAAAACAGATTTTCAAACTTGGATCCACTAAATGTCTTTCTAAAATTCGCATAGATATGTCTAGCACATTGCCTATGTTCAGCTGCTGGAAATACTTCCTTTACTGCCTCAATCAAACCCTACATAAGTCACATTAATGTTTGAAATTCGAATAGCAATAACTAAATTTAGAACATGCAATAGTTTTGAACCATACCTTGTGTTGATCAAACCGTTACCATCATTCCAACATTGCAAATCTTCTGAAAGAGTTTCTAAGAACCATTTCCAATTCTCTCTGTTTTCCACAGAAACAACAGCCAAAGCAATTGGGAATATTTCATTGTTAGCATCTCTACCCACAGTACAAAGCAACTCCCCTTGACAAAAAGTTTTCCGAAAACAACCATCCAGGTTAATGATCCTCTTACATCCTCCCCTCCATCCCTTTTTTACTGAAGCAAAACATATGTATATTTTGCTGAAATAATTCTTACCATCAGACATTGAATCAACACAAATTTTAACTGTGGATCCAGGATTTGATCTTCTAATCTCCTCACCATATGACCATAATTTTGCATAATTCTCAGTTATTGTCCCTTCAACTAGACTCAATGCATACTTCTTAGCTCTCCTACACTGACTCATACTCACGTTAATCCCAAAATCTGTTTTTACCTCCTCTCTAAGCATTCGGACGCTCATCTTTTGATTGTTATAAAATTGGTGCTTAAAGTGGGTCCCTACCCATTTGTAAGTCACAACTTATCCGAATTTGAAATTCTTTGCACAACTATGCTCACCGATAAGAGATTTTATCTAGAAAGAATTATCTTCACTCATCCAAGAACCCCAAAGCCTAAAAGTACATTTGCCATCACAACATTTGACAAGTAATCGTCTAGTATCATTCTTAACAAAACATAATTGATAACCATTCGCGACAGCATAGTTACAAAGCATGTGTTTCAATTGCTTAGGACTTTCAAACCTCATACTTAAAACAGGTTCCTGCTCCTTCCAATTGAGCTTATCATTGAAAATGTTTGGCAATTCGGGATAAACATGTTCATTGTCACCCATGTCTTCTTCGAAAAACTTACCTGCACCTGCTTTCTCACCCATCTCTACCTGAGTCTCATTACCCTTTATAAAAAAAATGAGGCTTCTGATGGTCATCCTCATCGCCATCGACATCCTCATCCTCGTCGTCATCATCATCGCCATTCTCTACCTCATCGTTTGTGTCACCCACATCCTGATACCCTGGTGCAACTTCCTTAACCATTCCTGCACCATCAAGTACTTCTTCCTCAACGTTACCAACAAACTTGTCTTTGTGTTCATTCAACCATTCCTGTATGTTACTATCCCCAAAATGGTCTACATACATAGGGAGTATAACACCACATTCATATGCAATTTCAATGAAGTCGTAATAATCGGGGTCATTGCAAATTAGAGTCAAACCTTTTGGAAAATCAATATCAGGTTGGCAGTAATAGAGCTTCTCACACTTTTCCCCAGTGAACCTTTCGATGAACGCAACACACCCATCCTTGTCCATTCCTGCGAAATCGATGTCCGAAAACCTCTGAGTAATTCCACCGGTGTAGCGTATGGGGTTTCTGGCGAACATTCCTTGGAAGTGGACATCTACTTGTAAGAATACGGGTTTCATGCTTGAAGATTCAGAAGCAGCTCACAAAAAAGAGTTTACCGATGAAGTGTTGAACAGTGGATGTAAAAGGGCTCTTTTATAAAAAAAATATACCGACATTACGAAGGAGGCGACTAATTAATGACATGGCATTAGACGAAAGTCACAGTCAATATCCGATGTGGTGTAAGTAGAAGGATGTGGACTTAAAATGACCGGCTAATCCCTTCAAAATTGAAATAAGGACTTAATCGACCCGACAAAGAGTAATTCGATCCCTTATTAAGCCACAAAATAAGTTAAGTGGCTAAATGGGTCAACCCTAGAAACATTATAGGGCCTATACGTCATTTTCCCATATATATATATATATATATATATATATATATATATATATATATATATATATATATATATATATATAAAAGATTAGAACTTCATTAGGGAATCCCATTGGTTGATATTTTTTTTTCTTCTTTATTTTTTGATTGCTTATCCATTGTTGGTGGATTACACATGTAAACAACTATTTCTCTACCGTCTACGTGGCCGTATTTTGCCCTGCTCTAGCAGCTACATAGTCGTTACGTGTTCTGCTTCTGGAACTCCACCTCTTTTTTGACTAATCAGATTCTTACGCTTCACAAAGCTTCTCATTCATTCAATCCTACATTCTATCACCGATTCACGCTTTTCCAAAAACTAACCGACCCCCGTTCTATCATCCACCGATTCCCCCTCAGCTTGCTTTCATTCACCAAAAAAGCATCTCAGATTTCAAGGAATCAGTAGCCCTATTGAATGACTTCGACTCTTCTTCTTCGATTGCAGCCCGAGAAAACGTTGATAGAAGCCAACGCCACCGACGTCGTATTTTTTTAACCTCAATCACTGCCACCATCAGTCGCCTCATCTGGACCTGCGATTATTCTAATTAATTATAAAGAAAACAATACTTCAGAATTATAATTGCTTGATTTTTGGCTTATTAGTAACATTACTTCGAATTAATGTTTTTAATTATCAATTAATTCTTTGACAATCTAATAGTGTTGTTTTCTTATTTCATACTCGAATAGTTAATTGTTATAACAGAAATGCTAGCTTCTGTTAATTGTTTTCTTAGATATCAATACATATTAGACCAAATTTGCCATCAATCACTATAATTTCTCTTATAATAGAAATTTTAGATGATTGAATATTTTGTTTGAATATTCAATAAACGTAATGGTTTTAACTTAACAAATAACAATTCAAGATAAATGGTTGTTCTAACATTTCTAGTTTTTATCATAAATTACTAGGAAAAAAAATAGACAATTATAAAACGATATCAATTTAGAGATTCTATATTATTGAAGATATATCCATCACTATTTAATAGTGATTGGTATTTATAAGAAAAAAATTCAGAATTTTTCCAAAAACAACATATTTTGTAAAAGAATATTTTCATTTTTTAAAGTTTTAAATGTCGATGAAATATATATTTTGTAGAAAAGAGTAATTAATTAAAGATTTTCCCCACGAGGGATACTGACGTATGACAACCCCTACCCCAACCCCAGAAAAGAAAAAGGTGAAATCTTCAGCAAAAGCATGTTTAAATAAAGCTGTAGTCGAGATCCTTCAAATACCATAATTACAATATATATTTTTAGAAAGTTGCTTTTCTTATTTTTTATTTAAAAATTTGTTGCAGTGCAAGGTTATAAATAATGTAATGTGTGACCGGGGGTGGTGGTAATAGTCAATTAGTCATGCCTTAAATTTTTTTCAAACTATGGGAACCATGCCATTTGTAAGATGTTACTTAATATGGGAAATTTGTATATAATTCATAAATTTATATATATTTTATATTAATATTCATTTTTATACATGATTTAATGCAACATTTGTTAAAGTTTATCGGTAAATAGAAGCCTTAAAGCCACCATGAATTTTTTAGAATCTTGATTGTATGTAATAATATGTTTTTTGTTTGAAATAAACAACTTTAATATCAACCGTCGTAGTAGTAATTTATGGGTGACTTGTTTAATTGAGTGTAATTCGTGACATTGTTCATGCAAATAAATATTTAACTCATGTCACATGTAATATTTTTCAGTTATATATATATTGCATATTTTGTAGGGTTTACATTTAACTTAACCCAACCCAAAAAATTAGCTGAAAAGATTGAGATTTTCAAATTAAACAAGTTAATCCATTTAACCCTTTAATAAAATGGGTTTGGTTGAGATTAAAATCCCCGAACTGTTTACCATTTGTTATCCCATTTAAAAATTTTAAATAAAAGTTTATTTAATGTTTTTATTCAACTGATTATTTTTTATTTCTCAAAAAATGTGGGTTAGTAACTATTATTGAAAGTTGAGTTGGTGAAAGTGAAAGTGAAAGTCAAGATAAGTATAATTTAGAATTTAAACCTTTATAATGTTTTATGGTTGTAAACTTTTAATTTGTATATGTATCGTGATCTTATAGAATTGTGGTTGCATTATTCTCAAATTTAAACAATTATTGACGTTTTTAAGTTTTATCTTATTCTATTTAAAAGATTATTTAAGTTTTTAAGGATTTTTTTAAATAGATTAAACATGTTAAGTTGGAAAACAATAAACATGTCAATTCAATTTCAACCTATTACTAAAAAGCTGAGTTGGGTTAAGGATTTTCTATCTGTTTATTTAAACAACATAGCCCATTGCCACCCATAATATTTTGGTCTTGGAATAAATATTATTTTTTGTCTAAAACATTAAGGGTGCGTTTAGTTGTGGAAAAATGGGTCGTTTTCCGGAAAAATTTTCCAAGAAAAATAAGAATTTTGAAAACGCGTTTAGTTCGTCTATTTTTCTAAATTTTTCACGGAAAATGAAAATTTTCCGTTTTCTAAAATTACAAAGAAGTTGGAAAATTTTGAAAAACTGATAATCATTGTTTTCCACATTTTTCTAATTCCAAAATTTTTCTATAAACACACACCCACTCCACCCCATCCACCTCTACCTACCCCCCACACACACCCACCCGCACACACACACACACACCCATCCGCACACACACACACACCAACCCACAAACACACGCACATACATACCCACTCACACATACACACACACCAACCCACACACACACATACATACCCAACCACACACACCCACCCACAAACACACACACATACATACATACCCACACACATACACACACCCCAACCCGCACACACACACACACACACACCAACCCACACACATACACATACGTACCCACCCACACACACACACCCACCCACCCACACATACATACCCACCCCCCACACACACCCACCCACCCACAAACACACACACATACACATACATACCCATCCTCACACACACACCCACACACACACCCACCCTCACACATACACATACCAACCCACAAACACACACACATACATACCCACCCATACACACACACCAACCCACACACACACACACATACATACCCGCCCACACCCACCCACAAACACACACACATACATACATACCCCCACAAACACACACTCGCATCCCCAACCACCCAACACCATCACGACAATCACCGACCTACCATCATCACCACCACCACCACTAACCCGTCACTAGCACCACCACCACCGCTGCCGCCTGTCATCACCACCATCACCACCACTGACACAATTGTCGCCGCCACCACCATCGCCTGTCATCACCACCACCGCCGCCGACCCACTACCGTCACCGCCCCTGCCCACACCTTATCACCGCTACCGTTTTTTAAAAATGAAAACCGATAGAAAAAGACACATCTAAACACGTTTTATAATTTTCTAAAACTGAAAATGAAAAATGAATAAGTTTAATTAAACACGTTTTCTAAATTTTTCAATGAAAAATGAAAACGGAAAACGAAAATCGAAAAGGGAAAACAAAAAACGGAAAATGAAAACTGTTTTTCCGTAACTAAACGCAACCTAAGGGTGCGTTTAGTTGCGGAAAAATGGGCCGTTTTCCGAAAAAATTTTCCAAGAAAAATGAGAATTTTGAAAACGCATTTAGTTCGTCTATTTTTCTAAAATTTTCATGGAAAATGAAAATTTTCCGTTTTCTAAAATTACAAAGAAGTTGTAAAATTTTGGAAAACTGATAATCATTGTTTTTCACATTTTTCTAATTCAAATTTTTTTTTATAAACACACACCCACTCCACCCCATCCACCTCTACCTACCCCCACCAACACACACACCCACACACCCACCCGTACACACACACACACACCAACCCACACACACACACATACATACCTACCCACCCACAAACACACACACACACACATACATACATACATACCCACACACACACACACACCAACTTACACACATACACATACATACCCCCCCCTCCACACACACACACACCCACACCCACAAACACACACATACATACCCACACA